AAAGAATAAGAGAAAGAGACAGAGTGAATATACGTTCGTAGTCAGTGTAGATAGAAACGAGGTAGTCTTGTAGCTCTCGATTCGGGTTAATTGTGGCCTCCGTGTCTACATTGAAGAGAAAGAGAAAGAGAACTCTGCTTTTCCTTCGAGGTAGGACTAGAAATTTTACGAGCCGGTGTTAGTTCTATCGTACGTGGCATTGCGCTCACGGGACACAACCTAACCGAGTGAATAGTCTTCTATTTTTCCACCTCTTTCTTCTGTTTGTCTCTGTCTGTTTTTCTCACGAACGAGTTGGAGTGAGAAAGAAAGATACATTATCCTCGTTTATCCTAAGTGAGAGTATACAAACCGACAATTTTGTTCATGTTTGTATATATATACAAATATATACAAACATATATATATATAAGCATATATGTATGTACCAGGTAACCTCAAGAAAAATCGTTGAGAACCTCGAATTTTCGACGCTTCTTTACGATCTTAATCATACTATCTCTATCTTACACTCTCTTTCTCTCTCATTTTCTCATGAATTTATTAAATTTAACATTACCGAAAGTATCACTTTTGGCAAACTTCCTCTTCCTTCATAGAGTTCCTCCTCTTCTAGCAGATTTACTCTTATATGTCGATTTAACGATCATGATCTTCCTTTTTCGATGGATGTTTACTTTTTTGGTAGGTTTATAGTATGTACATTACCGACTAAAAGTTTGGAGTCTTTTTCAAAAATCAATTTTTCAACCATCTATCCCGTTTATATTTTAAATATTAACATGTTGACATTACATAACAAAGATGACAACAATATTTTTTGATGATTGTCCAAACAAACCATCTTTGTAATATGACTCTTTTGTTTTCACAAAACACATTGATGACATTTATGAAACTATTAATGAAAAATAATAAAAATAAATATTGCTTACCTTATATTTTTCCTTATTTGCATGAACTTGCATGGATTTTGTATCATTTTTTTCTATTTCTTATTATTCTTATATATTTTCCTTACCAAATAAGTTTATTTGTTTGTTACAGCGAGTAAATTATTTTTTAAATAATTTCAAATACTAAACAATAGATTTTTATTGCAGAAACAGAAAAAATAAGCAAATTTGAGCAGTTTACTTTGGAAGTGACCTAACTCCATTTTCCAAAAAAGCGAGTTAGCTACCGTAATGGTTATATATTTATATGATTTTTTCATTCTAAATCAATTTGTTACTAATATATTAAAAATCGTTAACATTTTGTAACACGAAAATTTGCTGATTAATGGAACGATGAAAAAGTTTATTTTAAAGATGTCCTAACTCCAATTGTCAAGTATTATTTTCCGATTGTCCATAATTACTCGTAATGATAGAGATTTTGACGTGGTAGAAATGTCATTAAAAAAAATTATTTACCGTGTGTCTCCCAAAGATTATTATAATATTATCAGAAAATACTGGAAAGGTAATAACTTTATTGTAAATGAAATGAAACAAGAAGATTATTTTTGTATAAACAAAATGATTAGAAAAGGCAATTTTTAAAGGGTACAGAATTTTAACGGAGAATCGATAAACTGGTTAAAAATATGTTTGAATTCGTTTTTTTTTTTTTTAGAAATGAACCGTATCAAATTTTCTATAAGACATTGATGAATGAAAATGAAAATTTGAAAATCCTGAATTTATTACCACGTCTGGGTAGACCAAAAAATTTCGACAATATTATATTGACACCACTGTATGAAAATATCAGACAAATAATAACAGCAAAATTAAAAAACCTAATGGTGAATTAAAGAACAAAACTACTATGACATATACCACCGAAATATCATGATTTCTTCAAATCCCTTTCACACACGCAAAATGTAAATGAGCAGTAAATTGGTTTGTAATTGATGTAGTTAAAAAATGTTTTGAATCGCATAAATTATGTTTCTGAAGTGTTTTAAAGATATGTAAAATAAATTGAGTATTGTTTTTTTTTTTTCAATTTGAAGCATCTTAAATTATGTTGAATAGAGTTAAGTCCCTTCGAAATTTTATAACAAATCAAATTGTTAATTTTTAAAGTGGCCTAACTCCATTCTTGTTAAAAAAAAACGCATATTATTCACTTAATAATGGCTATATATTCACTTAAGCAGTATGACTCGTTAGTATCCTGTACATATATTTTTAATTGTATTGAAAAGCAAACCTTACAATATCTCGATTCGAACAGAAATGGAGTTAGGTCACTTTCAAAATAAACGGCTCATTTATAGGGTGTATCATTTACTATAAGCATGACGTGGTAATGACACTATGTCAAATGTAATTAGGCAGTGAACGTGCTAAAACAAAGTTCGTGATAAAGTTTTTACGACAAATAAATCTAACTCAGTTACTTTAAACAGATTCATTTTTTTTTTACAGATATCCTGTTTCTCCGAATGTACGTAATGATTCCAAACTTTTTGTCGGTAGTGTATGCGTAAGTATGTGCGTATGTATATTTATGTACTTTTAAATTTAACTTTCAATTTCGTTTACTCGATAAGCTTTTACACTTCCCTTTTTTATTATTATTATTATTATTTATTAATCATTATTATTAGTATTAATTATTATTATTATAAGTAATATCATTATTGTTATTATTATTATTATATACAACTTATACGTGCAAAAAATAAAAATATTAAATCGAAAACAGAAGATGGTCGTGTTGAGCTCGTTGGATCGATGTTAAAAATAAAAAATAAAAACAGAAAGAAAGGACATGAAGTTTTTCGTTTCTTTTCAGCAAAATGTTAGGTAGATATCGTGACATTCTTGTATTCCAATCAATCGAGTCCTAGAACGTTAAAATAAAAATAAAAATAAAATTATGCACGAAGTAAGGTAGAACATCTTTGGTACACGACGAGAGAGACACTGCTACGGTTTTCTTACTCATTTACTTATTTACTTACTTATTTACACACACACACACACATACTTACATGCATACTTACATACATACACACACGCTCTTTCCTTTCTTTGTCATTATTCAAGAAAAGGAGATTTATTAATTGCATCCAGGCTACCGTTTCGCTTGAAAAGTTCGAAGGAATTTCAAATAATCTGAATTTTTCCTATCGAACACGCTTCTCTTTCAATTATTAATGAGAATTTTTTTCGTTAGAATAATTAAACCAACAAAATTATATATTATATATATAAAATAATTAATTAGAATAGAAAATAAATCAAATAACATCAATTTTTTTTTTATTTCAATATTATTTACTTAATCAATTATATCATAATTGCTGGCACATAAAAGAAAGTATAACATCAATGAAAGTTAAGAAAAGAGATAATAATAATAATAATAATAATAATAATAATAATAATAATAATAAAAATCAAATTATAATTTAGTTTTTTATATTATCATCTTATTTTACATAGAAGAAGAACGATTCGCAAGGAAAAATCCTGATGGCATCATCGATCCTTCAGTAACTTCGTCGTCACGTTCGTTAGTTTCATCGGGGAAAACAGGTAGCAGCACTCATAATACCTTTTTCAGTATTTTTATTTATTTGTATTTTTTTTTTCTATTTTTATTTCTTTTTTTTGTAGTTTTTTTTATTTTTATTATTATTATCATTATCATTATTATTATTATTATTATTATTATTATTATTATTATTATTATTATTATTATTATTATTATTATTATTATTATTATTACTCTTATACCTTTTTTGTCGATCAATAAAATCTAACGAGTATCAAGATCGATCGATTGATCTTGTTTGTGATCGCATTATTTTATTTTCTTCTGTTTTTCGATGATTCTTAGCGTTAAAAGTTGACGCAACTCAGTGACACGAAACGTTATAATTATTTTTATTATTATTATTATTATTATTATATTATTATTATTATTATATTATTATTATAATAACGAATACGTAACGGGGAAAAAGGGTCAGTGCCCTTTTAACCCAGACTCGTCTAGAGCACGCGAACATGAAAATTATTTCTCCACGGAGCCGCGTTACGCGATTTCTCAACATCGTCTTTTCATTTGACTGTTGTGTGTCGCGTATGCCACGTTTTATTATATACGTATAAATATGTACATATATATGTATATATTTCAACATATATGCATACATATATATATATACGTATATATGTATAGTATAACAATCGTAATGCTTACAAATAGGGAACATACAAAACGGCAAATATACAATCCTAAACGCCTCGGCTCGGCGATACTTAAACCGTTTCTCGAGTTTTTTTCTTTTTGAAACTTTTAACGCTAGAAGTACAGCTTGTCCACATGTTCGCTATTATTTCAATAAAGAAATAAGAGGAAAATAAAAAAAGAAAGAGACAGATAGACAGGCAGAGAGAGAGAGAGAGAGAGAGAGAGAGAGAACAAATTAACAAATAAAATAAAATAAAAAAACAAAATCATATTCTTGTTCCTGAGTAAACTTCAATCTAAACAAACGAAACGAATATCCTCGTCGTCCATTCGCCACGTCTCGTATTGTATACAGTCCTCTGTGCTGCTACTTTACGTAACTTCCATATAAATTCATTCCTTTGTGGATATTGCTTTTATGAAAACGAAATACAAATAACCTATATATAGTTTCTTGTTGGTTTGTTGCTGTTGTGTTGTTTTTTTTTTGTCGAGGAAAAGTATTCCTTTCTTTATTTTTTGTCATTTTTTTTTTATATTTTTTGTTTGTTTATTATTCTTTTTTTTTATTTATTTATTTATTTATTTATTCGAAGCGTCGTGTTTTGATACTGTAGTAGTACTGTGAATAAAAACTTGAGATGTTAAATTAAATATATGAAAAATTTTGGAAAAACGTTGAAGTGATGATAAAAATTCGTATTATTGTTTTTGTTGTTGTTGTTTAAATGGTAAAAAAAAGAGAAAGAAGCAAGAAAAAAAGAAAAGAAAGAAAAGGAATAGTGGTGTCAGGGATGAGGTTTGTTTGTTTGTTTGTTTTTTTTTTGAAGGGAGTAGATGAGAAATAGGCAGATAATTTTCGTGCCGTACTTCACGCGTTAATACATTTAAAAACAGATAAATATATCCATATCGATCGACAATATTATTTGTCTCCTTTTCCCTCCTTTCCTTCCCTTCCATATTTTTCTTCCTTTTCTTTCTCCCTTTGAAGAAGATAAGCTTCTCGAGTTCCCGTTATTCTTTCGTTTCTTGACTAGTGTGCCGTTGTTCGTCGTGCTGCGACGCTCCTGAACTACTTCCTTTTCATGATCTCAGGCGTGCCGTGACTATCTTAGGAGCAGATGAAGCATACACAGGAGGAGGGGGATCATCGTCAGGCAGACGGCACTATGTGACTCGCATCCGTTCTCAGATGTTACTGTAACATACATTCAACGAGATATTATTTGTTTCCTTCCCAGAAAATAGTGTTTCGTGTTATATTATACCAAAAGACCATTTTCCTTCCTTCCTTCCTTCCTTACTTTCCTTCCTTTATTTCTCTTCTAGTTCTTTCATTTCTTACCTTCATTACTTTATTTCAACGTTATCGTAACTCTCTACAGACCTTATACCACCAACATTACCCAAAAATATTTCGTACCTTACGCACGTGCAACATTGAATTTAATTTGTTTTCTTTTTCTTGCTCTTATTTTATTTTTTCCCTATACTATGAAATATAAAACTAGGTAACCTCATAGAGACTTTTATTATATGTACGTACATATGTATGACGGGTCGCAAAAAAATATAATAATGTATATATAGAAATATTTGGAATATTTTTTTTCTTCTAATTAAATACCTTTTTACTTTTATCTTGGTAAAGTATTCTGCATTTTTTAGTACATATATATATTAAATATATACTATAGAGAAAGAGAAAGAGAAAAATTAGTATGCCGTGTGAGATGTGTGAAGAATTAAAAAAGTTAATGTGTTTTTGCTATAGCATCGAGGTAGAATATAAAAGAATTGTTTTTACGTTTTACTCTAAAAGATTTGATAAAAAAAGAAAAATGATTTATGCATTTCGTAGACTTGGTTTTCATTATAATACTTTATTTAAATAATTATTGAAATCGTGATATTTTATAGATCTATTTATTTAAATATCATGTTTCTCAACGATTTGAAAGAACTTTGAATTTAGGATACAAATTTATTAATAATATTTGAAAGATTTGTATAAAATAATTTGTTATAAATTGTACACAAATTCTTTTTTTAACGATAACATTTGATAATAAAATTTTAAAAATATCTATTCGTTATTTTTATTGTTTAAGAAAACAATTGATCATTTCCTTTTAATTCTTTATAATTTTTTTTTCAATTTTTCAATAAATATTTTATAGTATGACATAATTTTTTTCAAATACGTTTTTATTTCACTTTAAATAATATGCTTGTTAAGAATACAAATATAGATGAATATTTTGTATATTTTAGTAATTATATAAATATATTTTTAAAAATTGTACAAGTTATATAATTCAAATTTTTACAGATGTTCTAACATTAATAATGAATCGTGAAGAAATATTTTTTATATTGTTTCAGTTAGAGTGATACATTTTTTTGTATTATTCACGAGACAAAAAAAATATTGAAAAAAAAACATACACGATTGTTTCAATCCGTGAACATTTATTATAGTTTAATAAAGAAAAACTGAGCCATTTATAGCATTTTTTAAATTTATTTTTAAAATAAATATTTATTATTATTTAAATATTATTTATATATTAATTTTTATTAATTATTATTTATAATTAATTTATTAATATTTAAATATTTATATATTAGTTAATTTATTACATGAAAATTTGTAATTACATATTTTCGAATTATTTAACGCAAATATGTTATGATTTAGATTGAGGTTAGTTATCGGTAAATGCAAATAACCAAATTTCGGTGCAAAATATGAAATTAATTTTAGAAAAATTAAACAATAGTAGATAACAAAAATTACTGTTATATATTTGCATATTACATCATTCATATTATTGTATGACTAATAATTATACCAATCTATCTCTCGTTAACTTTTTACTTTGTAAAAGATAAAAAAAAAAAACAAAGCAGGCGAAAAGTATAAATTTTACCACAGTTTTACTTAGTGCTATCCATCTTCGAAGTTTTCACCTCTCCCTATATTCAGAATGGGAATTTCCTTTCGTTACGATTTAATTTCGCTAGAGAAGAAGAAAGAAATGTAGTAAAGGAAAAACATCGCTTTGCCAAATGCAGAAAGTTTTCTAACGATAAAACTATTAGTAAACGCAGTGTATGTAATTCTCCCTAAATTTACTTTTTTCTTACCTCTCAGATAAGTTTTCATTTACGAGAAACAATGTATGTACGCAGAAATAAATTGTATATACTATTTATATCGTATTTCTTTTTATTTATTTATAAAAATCAAGTATTCTTCTTCATTCCGATCAATTTAAAATAAAACGTATAAAAGTAAACATTTGTTAAAGTTAAATAGTAAAAAAACAAAAGATCTCTCCGATACTTTGTAAAGAATTAATTATAACTCTCATTGAAATAAGGTAAATAAGAAAAAAAGCAGAAAAGTAAAGAAAGTAAAATAAAGAGAAAGAGAAAGAAAAGAATGGAAAATAATTATATTGCGTTAATTAAAGTTGCAAAAATCGATTAACTTTTTATAACTTTTATGTTATTTGATTCAAAAATATTTATAAAGTTTGTATTCGATGTTATATTTCTATGTATATATATATATGTGTATTATACATACACACGTGTATAAGATATATTTATTCATATATCTACTTCTCATAAACCATTGTCAACAAACAATACGGATGTAGTAGTTGCCACAACGGAATACTGCCAATTACTAGCGGACTGTACTTTTCGACACGTCCGATATCTATTCGTCAAATTTCAAACGCAATCTCCAATCGTATACCGATGCTCTGACTGAATAGATAGAGTTACCGGCAGCCACTAAATAATTATCAGTCATCACTCCTCTACATCCTGAACCGAAACAATGATGGCGATTCGATAACATAACCTTGCTGCTGCGGTATTCTCGGAAACACTGAATTCGTATATACGATTTAAAAAAAGCAAAATTATAAATTAAAAGGAATTTGTTCTTTGTTAACGAGAAAAATACTAATAATACTAATAATAATAATATTATTATTATTATTATTATTATTATTATTATTTTTCAAAAATTTCTCTCATATGTAAGTGTATTCTTGTGTACGATTAATATACGTCAGCGAGAGAGAATATTTCATTTCAACGTATAACGTGCAATTCTATAAAACCGTACGAAATATCTTTTTTATTTTATTTTAATATTTTATTATTTATTGTAGACAAAAAAAAGTGAACTTTCGTTTTATTGAAATAATATTATAGAGAAATGAACAAAAAGAGGGAAAGGGATTAAAGAAAAAAATGGTTGCATTTTTAAATAAAATTAACATTACACATACTTTAAAATTAAACAAATGAAATTGGATGTTTAATTTGATATGTGAATACTTCATTTTTTTTTTTTTTTATAAAAGATAGAAATAAATAGATATTTTACTTTTGTGTGTTTAATATTAAAATTTTTCATTATTGCATAAAATAAATATAAGATTTAGAAGATAAATTATATGAAATTGAATGTGTAAGAGATATATGAATATTTCTTTATTTTTTTAGCATCGAAATATTCATAAATATTTAATTAATATCTACTGACCTCACATGTATTTCCAATATATTCATTTAAGTTTAATTAGAAATCATTTTTCTAATTGTTGTAACATACAATCTCTCGACAATGATTAATATAATAATAGCTCGACGATTTATTATTAGAGATCAAGAGAAGGCAAAATTTTTGATTAAATAATGGTTGAAATAAATATATCATAGATGTCATACAAAAACCTTGAGCTTTTGTTAACATAATCCCATTTATACATCACTCGATTTATTACATTGCTTGAAAATGTCAGTTTACAAGCCAAATTCCTGTCATTTGCGGGAGGTATTTTAATATTTTGCTTCAATATGAGAAAAATTTGTTGTTAAGACTCATCGAGTGCTTTCAAATACTTATAGTGAGGCAACTATTGATAAAACAATGTATCATGAGTGGTTTCAACGCTTCAAGAATGGTAATTTTAATTTTGATGATCGGCAAACAGTGAAAATTTTCGAAGTTGCAGAATTCGTAGTATTACTTAACCTCTTAGGCATGATGCGCCCACTATAGTGGTTTTCTCGAAGTCATCTCTTTGAACGAGGCGCCACTATAGTGGCTCATTCTATAACCTCACTCTTTTACTATTTCTGTACCAACTGTACTATAATTTTGGAAGTAAATGTGACAAAAAAAGATGTTCTTTTATTTATATTATTAAATATAAATTTATATTAATTAAATTATAATTTTTCTTAAATATATTATACACACATACTTTAACTTTGACAATATTGTAGTTGTATCGTTTACACGCAAACCCTGCCCTACAGAAAAACAGCACGACGCAAAATTCAGCCGTACCTAAAACGTTAATGAAGACTCTTATCAAAGTTAAGAAAAATTGTCACAATTATCAGGAGTAAGTCAACAAATTATTTCAAAACGTCTTAAAGTCATAGGAATGATTTAGAAAACAATAAAATTGTGTGCCGTACGAGTTGAAACCGAGAAATGTTGAACGGTGTTTTTTGTTTGTGAATAGTTGCTTGAAAGGCAAAAACGGAAGGGGATTTCTGCATCGTATTGTGACTGCGGGAGGGAAGGGGAAAAATAGGTTCATTACGATAATCCTAAGCGCTGAAAATCATGCCATGCCCCTCCATGTCGACGGCAAAACCGAATATTCATCGTTTCAAAGTCATGGTCTGTATTTTGTGGGACTAGTTTGAGTGTAGTGTATTACGAGTTGTTAAAACCGACTGAAACAATGACAGGTGATCGTTATCGAACGCGATTAATGCGTTTGAACCAAGCATTGAAAGATAAACGGCCGCAATACAACGAGAGAGAGAGAGAGAGAGAGAGAGAGAGAGAGAGAGAGAGAGAGAGACACACACACACGATAAGGTTATTTTACAGCATGGCAATGTTGAATCTCATGTTTCTCAACCCCATGTTGGGAAAGTGGTCAAGATATACTTGGAAACGTTTAAATGGGAAGCCCTACATCGTCCCATTGTACTCACCAGACCTTGTTCCCACTGACTATTATTTGTTTCGATCAATAGCACACAACCTGGCTGACCATTACTTCCGGTTTTATAAAGAAATAAAAAATTGGATCGATTCGTGGATTGCTTCGAAAAATAAATCAGTTTTTTTTTCAACGTGGAATTCAT